GGACCCGAGCGCAACGCAGAGGCAGGGTCGCCACCCCACCCGGAGCTCCGAAGCCAGGCCGAGGCGGTCACACGTCCAGGTCAGTGAGGGGCTACCGACCAGGCCAGCGAGCCGAGGCAGAGTGGGGAGCCCAGATGCACAGTGTGCTACTGAGCTCCTGAATGCGCTAGCCCTGCGCGCGGGGCTCTCGACTCCTCCTCTAGGACGGCCTTGGGTCCCTCGGCCTCCGGAGCCTAGTCCCAGACTCTCCCCGGGCTCCTTGCTGTGGGAACCCCACCCCATCTATCCTCTTCGCCTCGGGCTGCTTCCTTAGGGTCCTGGAGCAGCCTCTGGCAGCCCAGCTCGCAGGGGCTCAAGGGGACTCTGTGAGCTACAGTGGGACCCGCGAGGGACCCGGCGCGCAGTGTCCTTGGCCCCGAGATGACCCGCCTCGTTCCGGACACAGGGAGCCGGAAAGGTCTGTCCTGCTGTCCGCTGTTGCAAGGTTGATTTCTCCGCACAGGAACAGACAGTTCTACACTTCGCAGAGTGTGCTTCTAGGTGCATTTTGTTTGGTGTTTGTGATTGTGTATGGTCATTTCTTCTGTTTGTTTTGTGCTTATTTGTATTTCTGGAGTCATCTGCCCCTTCCTGGGGACTGGTCACTCGCACACTGACGACCTTTGCTCCCTACCACGTTCAAGTGACTCTTTTTACCTGTCTTCGGGTGGCTGCAATTCCGGAGAAGTTTTTCCTGGCGCTGAGCACGCGTTCCCCAGCAGTGTTTTTCCGAGTTCCCGAACACCCAGTAAGTAATTTCATTGGCGACCTTTCCCTTTTCCCAGGTTTGATGAGACGCCGGAATCCAGTGTTTTCCAGGCAAGGCGCGTGGATTCGGGGCAAATTGTTTGAGATCTTGTTAAGAAGGGTACGTAATGAGCTGTCCTTCGGGGAGCAGAAAGACCCTTTCATTCACAGAAATATCTTGTTGAGAACCAGGTTTGGGGACCGTGCCTGAGCGCTTTATGTCACCGGCCACCGGATGCCTGGTCCCTGTGGGCGCTGGGGTTTGGTGTTGGATTCCAGGGCCTGGGTCTATTTCTTAAGGTCCTCCATTTCCTCTGCCTGTCAATTTTCCTCCCCCCATCCCTCGTAAAGTGAGTTCTGGGTTTGTTTCTTGTTCGTTCATTTGTGGTGGATCATGAGGTCCGATGGTTACAGGACATCTCAAAGCCATCGTGTTAGGTAAGGTCCGTAACACAGGTGCAATAGCGGTGACTTGTCCCGCTGCCCACCCTGGGGCCACTCCCTAAGATATTTCTCCGCAGTTACCTTTCAGTTTAGATTTCCCAGATTCGTTATTCAGACAAGAGCCTATCAAGGGAAAAGAGGCTGGATAAGTGATAGTCTTTTTGTAGGAGGTTTCCTGATGCAGTTCTCAGGATGAATGCACTCTCCTTAAAAATATTAAAAAGGCAATACTGTATTTAATATACTTAATTATAAAGCTACTAGAGCTGTTTTATTTTATTTGTGAGAGAGCCCATAGAGGATCTTAAGTACCTTTTGTGATTAAATATGCTCCATTTTGTTAAGTAGAGAGGCATCTTTTCCCTACAACCACCACTCTTTACGTGGAGCACTAGTTGTTTATCTGTGATGCAGATGGCTTTTTGAAGTGCATGAGAGTGAGGTGCCTTGTCACCAGTGACACTGACACTTCTCAGGCCATGCCCTAGTCACCTTCAAATGCTGGGCATGTTGGGGATGCTAACCATCTACTAACCCCAAGCTGTGCCGGGAATGCTGAGTGCCCGGAAAGTGTGTGGGTGTTGCATTTTGTGTTTTGAGTTTGAGGAACATATTTATTTATTATTTTTTATTTCTGTACATAAAACAAAGTGCTTGGAAAAGCTCAATACACATTCATTGTTGTCATTCAAGAAGCCTCATGATAAGATCAATTCTCTTTAGTTGTGCTAATAATTAGTTCATTTCACCAAATTTTACTGCATGTTTATGATGGGCACCAGCGCTTCAGGGGTTAAGAGATAAATAACAAGCTGCTTGTGTATGGTAGTGAATCCACTAGAGGATCTATTTACAGGATCTTTAATTTTTTCTTTTTTTTCCTATTTTTTTAATGAGGGCACATGAGGAATGACAGAGATGATTGGGAAGCATGATTAATCATAGGAGTCATTAAGTAAACTTGAAATTATACATTCATTATGAGAATGAAAAATTAATCCATCATAGGCAAAATTCTCTGATTTGGCCTCTATTCTAGATCAAGGCAGAGATAATTTGAAAATACTTCTTGCTGGGCTTACTTTTCTCCACTATACTTGTTTGTATTTTAATATTCATGTTATATGATGATTTTTATATTAATTAGTCATTGAGGAGAATTTTATAAATGTAGAACATGTTGTATTATATTACTACAGTGATATAAAGCATCATAGGTCTAATTTTATAGAAATTCACTATAATCATAATGACGGGTAAAACAAAAAATAACAACACCTGTTAGTAGTGGCTTAGAGAATACAACAAAGAATAAGCTCAATCTGTAAGTGCATGAGTTGGCAGGATTCCTTTTAGCCAGCATTTCTACCTACAGGATTGAAGCCAGAGGCTTAGGTGAAGAAGTCCCTGGAGTATGTCAGTGGCTGAGCCTTTGACTTAAATCCATCTGGGCATTCATTGGCCATTTCTAGTACAGGATAACAAGCTACTTAGTCAAATTATGTGATCACCTCAGCTCTGATTCTGATTTGGGGGACATGTCTAAGGGATATAATGAGAGACTCAGGCTGTGGATGAAGAATGTCTCCTTCAGGAGTTACTTATAAGTACTGCGACACTTGTGTTCACATTTGGAACCATGAAATAGTCTTTATTTTCCTTTACTAAGTTTTAGTAATACAAAAGACTGAGGGAAGAGAAATCCCGAGCTTTGCAGTAGCCATGTACACTTTAACAGCGTCTGTGAGCAAAAAGTGGCACGATCCAGCCCAAAGTGTGACAGTGTTTCCAAGTTCCATGATCATATCAGAAACAGGACACATCATTAACATTTTCTGAGTTCCTAACTTTTAAATTCCAATCTGTTGTATTAAAAAGGGAAGTATTCAGTACAGTTTTAAAATTTATATTATGGATTTGGTTGTTGATGCTAATCTTGTGACAGATAATAATGAAAAGATATGGAAATTGTAAGCCCACAACAGTTGTGAAAAGGGTAACTTAAGATAACAGACCTGAACTCAATTTCTGATGGAAAACAGAGGGATAAATGTCTGAAAGAACTGGTTTCAAATTCAGAAAGACAAAATGATTTAACCCACTAACTCCACTCATTCAGGTAGCATTCAACATACAAATTCACTCCCCAGAGGAAGCAAAAACAACAGCGTTCCTAATTAATTTGTCATGGTAATTGTGTACTGATAAAAGCACCTGATGATTATCAACTATTATCACAGTTAGGTTTTTACTCACTTTCAGTTCTCTTGTGACCAGGACTATAACAGAGGGATTTATTCTTCTTCTTTCTTAAATAGCATGGTTATAGCATTAACTCAAAGAACAATTAAGCTCTATTGGGAAGGCTTTCAGGCCTCAGCCTGAGAGTATTAAACTTTGAAAGAAGTGATACAGGGCCAGGCATTTAATTCAGTGGCATCATGCCTGCCTCATGAGTGCAAGGTCCTGAGTTTGATCCGCAGTTGAAACAAATGAACCATTTCAAAAGTTTTTGTTAATTAGAGATACATTGAGTAGAAGGAATAAGAGCAGGTGGATGAAGAGGAATAGAAAGAGAAAAGAAGGTGGGAGAGGAAGGAAGGAAAACAAATTTAGTTCTGGGGTTAAAAACTAGTAGCATATTCACTGTGTGTGATATAATTAAATTTTATTTTATAAAAAAATCTTTATTATTTTCTCTATAAAACAACATGTTTTTTGTATCAAAGTTCAAATACAAAATGAAAAAAATGGAATATTAATATAACCATAATACTACCCTCTAACAGAAACATACATTAACATCTTGTTTTGTTTTTATTATTTTTTTCCATTAAGTTTATTGGTACATTTTAGGTATACAATACAGTTGTAGCCATCATTAGGATCTTGTACCTTTACATGATGCATCTTGGTTCTTATTTTTGCCCCATTTCCCTGCCCTTCCGTAATCCCCTCCAACCTTCCCTATTTAAAAAGACTTTGTTTCCATTTTTTCCTTTTCTCATATTTTTTCTTTCCCCTCTTTTCCTTTCCCCTACTCTTGTTTTGTTTTAAAATTAAAGTTGTATATGTGTGTGCACTAAGAGAAGTAGTAGCTGTTTTACAAAAATGGAATCATAATATGTACTATTCTAAAATTTACTTTCTGAATTTAGCCATACATGTCCAACATCCATGTTTTCCAACATAAAATCCTTTTCATTAGCATCAGCATACTCCAGTTTATGACTTTTCTATCACTTAGTTAACCAATCCTTAACTCACGGACATATTGTATTACTGTATTACTATAGTAATATAAAGCTCTCTGGGCCTAATTTTATAGACATTCATTATTGATCATAGTGACAAGTAAAGAAAAGATAAAGCCTATGAGTTCATGATAAAGATGATACAACAAAGAAGAAGCTCAAAGTATAAGTGCATGTTTTGGCAGGATTCATTTTAACCAACATTTCTACCTACAGGATCCAAGCCAGAGACTTAGCTGAAGAAGCACTTAGCTATGGAGTACATCTTTGTGCATGACCCTTTTAAACTTGTTTGATTTTTTTCCCAGGCGATAAATTCTTAGGATTTATTATTTACACTGTTAGCCTCTGACACATATTTTGAAGGGAAAAGGAAACAGGCAGTAGACATACAGAGTATCTTCTTGATGTGTGGTACATAAAATATTTTTACCTATAGAAGATGTTTATTGACACTTTGCCTTCATATAAAAACTTTCACAAATCATAAAAATATAAATTTACAAGTAAATGGCACTCAGATCAAAAAAGAAAATACTTATCAATACCACTCCAACCATATGCCTTGGCAACCTGTAATTTCTAACACTCCCTAGTGAGCTTATCTACCTTGGTTTCCTGATGAACATGTTAAATCAAGAGTACTGCTAGGAAAACAGATACATATTGCAGATATACTAATAAGTGAAATAAATAAGTCACACATGTGTAAATACTGAATAGTTTCTCTGGTGTGAATAAACTATAATAGTATATAAGATCCTAATGAGATAATTGACAATATGAAATAGGAAGAAAAGGGCTAAAGGTGTAGGGAAAGTGGGAAGTGTAGGAAAAAGGTAATAAGGGAAAAGAAAAAATATGAGAATATGAAAATAAAGTGTTTGTAAATGGGGAGGGGAGGAAGGGGTGAAGGGAAGGCAGGGACAAGGGGAAAAAATGAGAACCTGTCATGTAAAGGTACATGATCCCAATGATGAATGTAACTGTACTATATACCTAAAATGTACCAATAAACTCAATGAGGAAAAAAAAAGAGCACTGCTTTTAAAAATGACTGTTGAACTGTTGAGTTGGATGGAGGTCTCAGGCTTTCAGAAAGACTCCTTGCCAACAAAGTTGGTCTAGTTCAACAAAATGGCTTTCCAAAATCCGACACACTGTTCCCTTTTTATTTATCAGTTTTCATTTTAAATATGTCCTCTGGAGCCAGGCGTGGTGGCACACGCCTGTAATCCCAGCACTCGGGAGGCTGAGGCAGAAGGATTGCTTTGAGTTCGAGACCACCTGGGCTACATAGTGA